CAAAATTCTCGTCATGAGTGAGGGCAAAGTGGCCGAGTATGCTCCGCCGAACGAACTCTTGCTCGACAAGGTACGCTCCATCGCATTCTGGTCACGAGGCGCCGTGCTGACGTTCTTTGCGTCTGACATAGTCGTCAATCTTCTACTCTTTGGCATGCGAGGCCGGCCTCGTCAAGTCTGGCACGGCCAGTGGCTCGCGGTCCAGGGGTGCCAATACTCCGCGCTCTGGGTCTCGCACGCCGGCGAGGCTCGATTGAGAAAGTAGTCCACAATATTATGATATGATGGGAGTGTGACATTTGCAAATCATATTGTACAATGTTCCGGATTTCAAACGTCGTCCGAGCTTGTCCGTCTCTTTAGCTTTGCCCGTTGCGAGATGCCGCCAAAGTCGATCCTCAAAAAGCGGCCTGCGCCGTCTGACGCGGCCGAGGCTGCAACTTCCAAGGGCAAAGTGTCTGTCAAGGTGGCTCGCGTGGACGATGGTGGCCGCGGTCGGGTGCAGGACTCGATCGCCGACAAACTCGGCGCTGCGAGCGACGAAGACGGCACGGACGATGATTCAGACGACGCGCAAGACTCTGAAGACGTTGATAGTGGTCCAGAAGCGACGTCTGACGACGAAGATGCCGAGATCATGGCGATGCAGGACGGCAAGGACCGACCAGTCAAAAGTGCGTCTTCGACGCCGAACACCAATGCCACGCGTCTGCCGTGGCGTTGCGTTGGAGCTCAGACAAGTTTATACCACTACTTGATGCTGACATTTGTGCCCTTGTACCCCATGCGCTTCTGTGCGGCCCAAACAATGCACGTGCCACTTACTTGAACTGTTGTCAATCTTCGGCAGAGCTCAAGCATCCAACACTGAGACCAACGTCTGCCACCGACTTTTCTAACGCGCTCACACATCTAATCAGCTTGCCTCGATCGACGTCGTCCTTGGCGCCCAAGCATGCTCCGCCATCTGCGCACTCTTTGAGGCTCGAGCGCCGCGCGCGCACGCTCATTCGCGACACGAAAGCACAACACTACGCTCGCGGCCATGTCAGGGACGTTATTTCAGGCTGGGGACCTCGTCCACCGCTGCCATTCTCGTTGTGGGAATCAAAGCAGGCTCGCGATTTCGAACGAGCCAGGCGTGGTGAGGCAGGACAGGACGCCGTGCCCGAAGGAGTCGAAAACAGCGCAGAGCGCGAAAAGAGGTTGCGCAAATTGGCACAGCGTGGTGTCGTCAGGCTGTTCAACGCCATCAGGGCCGCACAAGGTGCACCCGAGCGCGCGCAGTGGGAGGAAAAGTTGATACAGAAAAAGATCGAAGGCAAGGACGAGAATGGACAGGAAGCTGGCGAGTCGGGTGCGCCCGGTGGCAAGGTTACGAGGCGACCAAACGTACTCGGCGGACGTGGCAAGGGAGAGCAATGTGCGTGCCATGCCCTTTCTGCTTTGCTGTTATTTCGTATTCCAGCTGACGAAGTGCTGTCTTGACAGTAACCAACTTGTCCAAGGCGTCGTTCCTCGAACTTATTCGCGCTGGCACTACCACGGCCGCCTGAGCCGAAGTTTTCCCTTCGTATTGCCGGCCGATTTCCTGAAAAGGGTTCTAGATTTTCCTTACTTGTTGTCAAATACGCATGAAAGATTCACCGAATATTTATAAAGTGCGCGCGTCGCATCGTGCGCGTCCTCCCAAGTTCCTCTTCCACCCGACTCTACAGCGCGCGAACACGTCTGCTTTCTTTCTCACCAAAACGGAATTGAGACAGCAGCGATGGCATTCTTTGCCAAAGACCCGCGCTCGCAAATGATGCTCGGCGGCGGCGAGCGCGTGAGCGGCGCAGAGGTACGTTCGTGGTATACCATGTAACGCAAACTGCACTATCTGACTCTATAACACTTTCTCCGGCTCTGCTTTACCGTTTGTACATCGTGCACGCTTGATTTCGGTCGCAGGTGCGCGAGCAAAACGTAAAGGCGGCACTGCAGATTGCAAACACCGTCAGGACAAGCTTGGGACCGCATGGATTGGACAAGATGATGGTCAGTCGCGTAACAGCGGACGTTTCCTGATCCGCGTCAGGGTGCTGACTTGGTCGACTGGCGACGCGTGCGCACGCGCTCACTTGTGCAGGTTGACGACATTGGAGTGAGTGTTGTCCTCGGTCACCGCTGCTGTCAATCGCACTGACACATGTGCGTGGCAGGACGTGACTATCACAAACGATGGCGCGACGATTCTCCAACTGATCGAGGTAGAGCATCCTGCCGGCCGCATCCTCGTCGAGCTCGCCCAGCAGCAAGACAAGGAAGTTGGAGACGGCACAACATCCGTCGTCATTGTAGCTGCAGAGCTTCTCAGGCGCGCAAACGACCTTGTCAAAAATAAAATCCATCCGACGACTGTCATCACCGGATACAGGCTCGCGTGCAAAGAGGCAGTCAGGTACCTTACAGAACAACTCTCGATGAAGGTCGACCAGCTCGGACGAGACTGCCTGATCAATGTCGCCAAAACGAGCATGTCGAGCAAGATTATTGGAGCGTAAGTTGCGACCTCACTTTTCAACCTCGAGTTGGCGCTCTACTGATTTTCTCCTGTGCGCAAAGTGACGATGAGTTCTTTTCCAACTTGGCAGTCGATGCCATGCTCGCCGTAAAGACGATCAACGCGCGCGGCGACATCAAGTATCCCGTCAAGGCCGTCAACATTCTCAAAGCTCACGGCAAGAGCGCAACAGAGTCAATGTTTGTCAAAGGATATGCTCTCAATTGCACCGTCGCGTCACAGGGTGCGCTCAAGGCCGCTCGTGTTGCTGAAGCAACGGCTGACACTGCTGAATTGCAGCGATGAAGACGCGCATCACAAACGCCAAGATTGCCTGTCTCGATATGAACTTGCAAAAGACGCGCATGCATTTGGGCGTGCACATTACAATCGACGACCCCGAACAGCTAGAGGCGATCCGCAAGCGCGAAGCCGATATTACGATCGAGCGCGTCAAAAAAATCCTCGCCGCCGGCGCCAACGTCATTCTCACGACAAAAGGCATTGATGATTTGTGTTTGAAAGAATTCGTCGAGGCAGGCGCCATGGCCGTGCGCAGGTGCAAAAAGGAAGACTTGAGGAGGATCGCAAAGGCGACGGGTGCGACGCTCGTCAGCAGCTTGGCAAATCTCGAAGGCGAAGAGACATTTGAATCGAGCTACCTAGGCTCGGCAGAAGAAGTTGTGCAGGAACGCATTAGCGACGACGAACTGATCCTCGTCAAGGGCACCAAAGTCGTCAGCTCGAGCTCGGTCATCTTGCGCGGCGCCAATGACTTTTTGCTCGATGAAATGGAGCGCGCCTTGCATGACTCTCTGTGTGTCATCAAGCGGACATTGGAGAGCGGCAGCGTTGTGCCCGGCGGCGGCGCAGTCGAGACGGCACTCAGCATCTACCTCGAAAACTTCGCCACGACGCTCGGCTCGAGGGAGCAATTGGCGATTGCAGAATTCTCGAGCGCGATGCTCGTCATTCCAAAGACGTTGGCCGTCAATGCCGGCAAAGACTCGACCGAGCTCGTCGCCAAGCTCAGGGCGTACCACAATGCCGCACAATCGGCTCCAGCAGGTGACCCGCGGAGAGCGCTCAGGTTTTATGGCCTCGATCTGATGAAGGGCGAGCTGCGAGACAACATCAAAGCAGGCGTACTCGAGCCGCTCGTATCAAAAGTCAAGAGCTTCAAGTCGGCCCTTGAGGCGTGCACAGCGTTGCTCAGAATTGATGACCGGGTGCGTAGCAGTTGCCGACCTCTGCCCACTTGTGGTGACTGACCGATTCGTTCTTTGCCGCGTGAATGTGTAGATCACTGTGCCGCCAGAGCAGAAACCAGAGAGGGACGGACACGGGCACGATCATTGATCTTTGAACCGAAAAGTTGTAATGAAAAATCTCGCATTTAGACGACTGAGTTGACGAGGCCCGCTTCCAACTTCGATGCGAGATTTGTGCGCGAGTGATCTAGGCAAGCTCTGCCACCCGAGCGATCACAAGCAGGCGCCGTTCTGGCGAGAATAGGTACAATTTGGCCTAGACAATGTCTCGACGTCCCAATGCCCTCTCATCTCGACATTCGACTAGTCATGCTTTTCGTTCAAGCTGGATGTCGCACTGACAAAACCGGGCGGTATAAAGGTTTGGCTTGCCTAAAGTATGCCTCCCACAGGTGACGGAGCATGTTCATCCCCCGGTTAATTCTGCCATGATTTTCGCCCCTGCCACATGCTAGAACAGACGCTGGTACAACGGGTCGCCCCGGTTCGTGCTTTACGCAGTCAAATGCACGTCCCAACAGGGCCAGCAAAAACCCCAGAAAGCCTTGCGAAAGTAAAATACAAGGACTTGAGAATAATTGAGAATTCTCCAAGCAACAAGCTATCGGGTCCAGGATTCGACGGCGTGCCAGTTCTATTCTAAACAAAGACAAGGGGGGGTCATCGGGCGACTTTGCCAGCAGCGCCGAATTTACTTACCAAGCAAATCCGGACTCTGTGCCGGTCAAGACTCCGGACCGTGGTGGCGCGCACTGCGGCCAGGCATGATGCTATCGTTATGTCTCAAAGCGTTCCGGACCAACAAGTGATTCGCCTGGGGCGTTCAGTAAGGTGGACACTTCTTTCTCGCTGTACACGCGTTCCTCTGCTGTCGTCTCGGCAGAACAGAATTTCTGAGCTTGCAATTTGCATTGGGAACTATCGTCGCCGAGCTGCTAGGCAGACACGACGGTTGTGTCTTCTGGCTGCTTGTGTATCTTGCCACAGACCAGATGGAAAAAAATTGCGACGAGATAGGTCTCGCACAACTTTGCCTTGCTCCTGTGATTCGACGGACATCCGAAGACATCGTTAGCTTCCATTCAGGTGCGGTGCCAGCACATCTACAGAATGGTGGCCTGACAAAAATCAAAGGAACATCCCCTTGCAGTTTGCGCCAAACAATAAAAAGAAGCGCGGGCGCAAGACCAGGCCGGGATTCGAACCCGGGTTGAGCGGAATCAGATACAAATCAGAACCGCTAGTACTAACCGCTATACTACCCAGTCGGTTGAGCTCACGACAGATCTTTGTAAATATAATTGTGTGAAATAACTCCTGCGACGGCCGATTTCAGCCAGCCCTGTCTGAAGTCACACATTGTCAAGTACCCGCTGCTCCAACCTGGCAAAGGGCTTCACGTAGCGCCTCGGCCACCTGGTCAATGGGTCGTCGTCTGGCGCCGACTCTGTCAGATACGTCGCAACTATCCCGACGCCGAAGATACCTTCCACCGTTTCCTTCTGCACAACTGGCCTTCCATCGGCCGATTTGTTGGTGGGCATTGGCTCCACACATTTCCGAACAATCTACCAGCATGCACTCTCTGCGGTGGTGGCGAGCGCCTTTCAAATGGCCCGGGGGTTGCGGAGACGCTCCAACACCTGGTTGTCCACTGCCCTCGTACTCGTCGTCTCTGGCACCTTGCCTTCCCTCGCGCCCGGCCTCTGGCACTTGAATCGATCGTCTTTCCCGACGTCCAAGAAGATCGACCTGGCCGTTTTGCGCACGTGGTCTTGTTTGTTCACTACACTCTCACCGCGGCAGCCGATAGACGCTGGAAGCGGATCCGCGATCCGGAACCAATCTCGGACGACTCTTTAGCACGCCTAGCTCGATTGATTCAACAAGACTTGGCCCGTTGTCGACTTCGCGATTGAAGCCAACTCCTTTGTTCTGTTCCTCTCTTGGGTTTTTAGTGGGTAGGCAATCAAGATTCTCTTGATTGGAGCCCCACAGTGTTGGACTGTGCCTTGCATGTTCCTTCCTGCGTAACTGCATTTTTGATCCCGTTTCCGCCTCCGCTCTTGGGTTAGTTTGACATCGCGATAGTCTTGCAATTCCAGGGCACGTAGATGCAAAAAAACAAAAAAAAAAAGAAACCCGAACCTGCCAAATTCGCCGTCACTATCCCGACGCTTTTCATCGTTCCCTGCTGCACAACGGACCTTCTACTCTGCGTCCGTAATGGAATTTGGCTCTTCCCTCGTTCTGTCCTGTAGATGACCAAGCGATCAATTACAATGGATAAATTGTTCAGGAAAAAAAAAACAAGAAAAAAAAAAAAACACTGCGGCCAAGAACCGTCGCTGGAGGCGGCTCCACGATCCAGAAACAAGCTCTGACGGATCCCTTACATGCGTGGCTCGATCGATTCAGCGAGACCTGACCCGTTATATTGTCGACTTGGCGATTGAAGCCCGGTGCCGTTCTTCTCCGAGTCTTGCGTTTTTAGTGGGTAGGCAACTGTGCTGCTCTCGGTTGGATCCCCACAGTGTTGGATAGTGCCTGGCATGTTCTTTTTCTGCGTAATTGCGTATTTGATCCCGTTTTTCCCTCGGCTCTTGGGTTAGGCGAACATGGTGGTCTTGGCACTTTCAGGGCGCGTAGATACGAAAGAGATGAACTCAGAACCCACCCGCTTTTGGAAAAGGTAACGGGCTCGTCGAGCTTGCTCATTGGCGCCGGCGCCATCGTCGCATTCGCGGCCGCCGTCATCTGGCGATGCAACGTGAGGCGCCAATCGTCTCGCGTTGCACCGCCATTCAAGGCATAGCAAGGCGAACCATACGCTGCACCCTTTTGGCACCCTTTTTTAGACAACCTTGACGTAATCGCGCCCCTCCGGATCCGAGCATGGTTTGCTAGCAAAGCATTGTTGTGCAATGTAAAATGTAGATAGATTCACTCGTTCGTTTCATTAGTTGCCGTCGAACGGGCATGCTGTGAGATCATGCAACTAGCATGATGATGACACGTAAATGTACAATAGGGGGGTGATCCCTCACCCCTACGGCCCCCTCCCTTTATTCCTGTACATTCTCTTGTTGATCATGTTGCCGACATCCACTCTGTGTAGTACATCTCTAACCATAAATCGTACACTCGCTGAATGACGCTGTTGATCGCCTTGAGCATGATGTTGTTACTTGGATATTCAGGTCCGTCAGAGCCAACTGGATGATGTTTTTGGGCCTTCAGTCAATTTATGCCTGTGGAAGCCCCTTTCGACAGAAACGTACAGAACAGACTCAAGCGCATTTTGCTCGCGAGTCCAGGGATTTTGTAAAGACCAACGGACCTGTCAGTCGGGGAACGACTCTTGCGATCGCTGGGGAATTTTTAACGAAATGATCTCTGCAATGCCACGTCTCATGGAAGCCCAAGCTACAACAGGTACAGAACACTAACAAACAACTTTGAGCGCAACCTTGTCCGATTGCGTATCGCCCAACACGGCCCGCAAATCCTGATCTGTAATGACGAGCCGCGTCGCTTCCGAAGCGCATGCCAATCCCCAGTCTCCTTCGAGTACGACACCGCACGCAGACGCGTCGTACTTTTCTCGTACGAGGGAGCGCAACTTCGCGAGCGTGAGATTCTCGCGCTGCGTCCGAATGATTACGTTCGCCAGCGGGTGCAACAATTTGAAAGTTACTCTGTCTGGGGGCGGGGCAAGTGGCGACGCAAGAATCGTGTCGAGCGGGCGACGCGCCGTACGAGGGTCGGACGACCTGTTTCGACGGTGTTTTGGCGTGTGTGGCAAGCCGTCGTGCGAGAACGCTACCTGCATGGCCGAAGACGAGGGCGGCGGTACGGGCTGGACGCAAGAGTCAGCAACCGCCACTCTCACCTGTAAAGCAACTCACAAAGAATGGCGGCAAGGGCACCATATTGACGTGCGTCTCGTTTGGATCCTTGAATGACGCGGCATACTCGCTGTGCGGCGTCTGTGGCGTCGTTACTTCGGAATACTCTGTACTACTCCTGTGAGACCGACCAAGTTCCATCGAGAATGAGCTGCGACTCGAACCCACGCTTGACGTCGACAGTGACGGGTTGTGCCCTCGAGCGGCCGACGTGCTCAACCTGCGTGGTAAGGACGGCCTGCGTGGTCGAACGGGATCGTCGGGCACGACACGATCAATGCGACCAGAAGGCGTCCGTCTGAATGTGGCGTGCCGGAGGTCTGTCGACGAGGGCACTGCACTCGTCGTGCCCCACAAGTCGTCGAGCGAAGAATTCGAACCAGACCGCTGACGCGCATGCGACGTTGTTGGAGACGCTGCTGCGTTGGGCACAGAATCCAAAAACGGATGCGGCTGTGTGACGGCGCGTACCATCTTGCGCGGCAAAGGCAGTTTTGGAACGGGCTCGGTCGGATACACGGGCGACGACTTTTCACTGCGCAAGTCTTGCAACGACCTGAAATGGCGCAACGGACCGAGTCCAGGTCTTCGTTTCGTCTTTGGCTCGGGCTTGACGGCTTCGCTCGCCAAGTCCTCGTTGCTGAGTGGCGACTTGGCACGCATCGATGACGCGGCTGCAAACGTCATTGGCGTCACTGTAGCCGAAGATGAAGTCGACGCCATGGTCGAGACGGAGTAGATGCTCGAGCGCACGTTGGTGGCGTCTGACGTTGGTGTCGCCATACCAGGCCGCTTTGGCACCGACAAGTCTTCGAGCGCGTCATCGTGTTTCAGCAAGGCCAACCTCAAGTTGGGCGTCGACTTTTTGACGTGCAAAGGCGGCCGGCTCTTGGCGGCGATCGGCCTGATTGTCGCGTTGGGCGAGTCGAGGCCTGCCAAGAACGTAGCAAAAGATTCCGGCTCCTCGCCGGCAACCTGCCCCCATGTATCGTCGGCTGGATTTGGCGACAAGGACGGCAACAACGCAAGCGGGGCCGCGTCTTCTCTTCGTAGCATGAAAAAGTCGCGCACGAGCCGGCTCTGGCACACTTGATCTGGCATCTCGAATAACCGCCTCGTAAACAAGTCGAGTTCGGCTTGACGTTGTGTGAGCGTTGATCGCGTCACAAACAGAGTTATTTTTTTCGACAGGCGCGGTACTTGGCGGAAAAAAGTTGACGGGAGTGCAGACGACGACACGCCGTGGTCGGCGGGCGAGACGACTGGAAACACGTTGGCGAGCCTGCAAGAACAACCTTTCAGAACTCGCCCCGTGACAGACAAGTGACGGTACTCACTGCGAGCTCAGCTCGACAAAGTCGCCCCAAGTCCTGTACACCGTGTATGGCTCTCGCAACTCGTACTCGAGCCTACCCGCCATGGCCATTCGACCCAAGCTCTCTCGGCGGCGAGTCGGCACGTTCATTGCATCTGCATGGTCGAGTGGTGCCGACGCAGCTGGGATTACACGGCAGGCAAAAGCCCAGCTCTTGCCCGTCTTGATGTGGTGGACGACCGTAACAGATTTGATGAGTGGTCGGTACCGCCTGGTGTCCGGTGGAACTTCTTCAGGTTGCGATCGCGAAGCTTGGGCAGGCGTCGGTGGCAATGAAGGCAGAGGTGGTAGAGTTGAAGCGTCAAAGAGTGGCACTCGCGAATGCGACGAAGACGGCTGGTGCATCGAGCTCGACCTGGGTCTGAACGCGGGGATAGGTGCGGCGGACGGCTGCAGCTCTGCCTTGAGTGAAGCAGAGCTGCCGGCATGTTGGAGCTGGCGGGGAGCGAGAGCTGTATGCTGATTGAACGGTGGCAACAGAGACAGAGATGCCATTGAGCGCAGCGGGCGCCACTCGAATCGATCGAGTGTATCGATCGCGCTTGTCAGTAGCGCAACTCTCTAATTTTCTGTCAGGATGGATCGAACTTGTCAGCGTATTGTCGAAAGCAGACGCTTCGTAACGTCAACGGGCCAACGGTCGCGCTCGAGGCGTGCTCCTCGATGTATGCGCATGACGGACGGTCTCGACAGCGGGAAGGATTGCACGAAGGGCACTCAATGTGCAAATGACACGCTTTCTGCTCGAAATACGGACGCCAGGCCAGACTCCTCGGGCATGTGCGCCGTCCCCGCGCAAGGCCCAACTCGAGCGCGCGCGCGCGTCCGAGCGGCGACCGAGACGGGACGACAGCGGCCACTGCACACGCCGGAATGAGTATCTGGCAGCACACATGGTCGAACAAGGGTGTTTTGAACGATGGCCGTCGACGTGCAGCGCGGCGTTGGCGGATCGACTCCTCGGCGCTTCGCCGCTCGTTTTGCA